CACTCTCTCTCTCTCTCTCTCTCTCTCTCTCTCTCTCTCTCTCTCTCTCTCTCCATGTGAGAGACATAATCTCACACATTCATATTTACATGACCTATAAGGACGCACATACATAAACGTCATTGGATGAACATACAATTCCATAGAACAAGGCCGATTCACTGTACAGGACAAAAAACAAACGATGGCCTACCGGCCACAAACGTAGCGCCAATAGTACTCACTGTAAGCAGTCACGACTTGTGCATAGTCTTTGGGACATTCTTCCTGCACGGCCTTAGCCGCAGCCTTGCCTTTGTTCACGTTCTTGTATTGCTCAAACACACTGCGCATGTATGATGGAGACTTCTCTTCCAGCAGCAGGATGAACTTGCCTTTATTCGACGTCCATCTGCCGTCGCCAAACTGTCAAGAAAAAAAAATAACTTAAGTCTTTGAGGACACGCATTCTGGTATTTAAAAGACGACCGAGTGGCGCCGGTGGCCTTGTGGTTAGGCTACCGGACCCGTAATGGTGAAATTGCGGGTTTGGAGGTTCGAGCCTCCGCTCAGTCCGTCGTTGTGTCCTTTGGAAAGGCACTTTACAAGAATTTCCCATTTGGCCCGATCCTTTCGGAGATGGACGTTAAACTTGGAGTTCTCGCCTCTTAAATAATATAATAGTGTTGATATAATTTCCCCATGCCATGTTAAGTCTTGAAGACTCACTTGTTTATTGTGTTTTGGTAAGTGCTTTACGGCGCTCGCAACTGCAAAAGGTCATATAAGCGCGCGGGACACACCAAACATTTTCAGTTGTTAGGAAATTTTGAATTTTGTCTGAGTGGAGGCCAAAGCCTACTCTTATCGATTTTAGACCACCACGGGATCTTTAACGTTCGCTACTTGCTCACGGGACCTCCGAGATTGTTCGTCCTTTTCCAAGAAGGCTAGGTGTAGACCTTTCCTACCAGAAGATCAGGGGTGTGGCTGAAAGACAGCATTAAGAAGGAGCCCAGGAGTAACAGTAACAGTAGAAAGGCTGCAGAAAGAGTCAGTAGCCCGCAAGAGGAGGCAAAGGAGGATGGGGGCAGAAAGAGGAGACGAAAGCAGACGACAGAACATTGCTAGGGAGCAGGAAAGGAGGTGAAAGGAGACAATTTTAGAGAAGAAAATTTTTTCGGTCGCTACCCGGATTCAAACCCGGGACCTTTGAATGAGAGGCGAACATCTTAACCTCTAGGCCACGAGAGCCACCCAAAGACTAACTGTTTAGGGGCACTTTATAAAAAGAAGCATTACTTTGTTATTAATAATATTCATATCGAATTTACAATTCAATTTTCGTTGCCTGAAGCTTAGAGAGGCAGGCAGAAACATGCGTACAATGAAACATATGCATTTCTGTTTCTGAGTTGTGTACATGGCCTTTAATCTGCTGTGTGACATATATATGTGTCAGCAACGTCCCCCAAGAGTTATTTTTTGTGTTGGGTATATGCTGAAGAGCCTCATCAAACAACAACAACAAAGATAGCAGCAATACAATGGCAGTAAAAGAGGTTACAACACAGGTAGAGATAGAAGCGGAATAACTTAAGCAATACTGGACGTATCAAAGGTACAAACTTCAAAGTTTCCAACGGCAGTACAAAGGAGGTCTGGTTACCAGTATTATTGCAGAAAAGCTAATAGAATGAAAATAGAATACAAATGAGAATCGCAGTCATTGCAAAAAAGAAACTTGTAACCCCCAAACGAAAACCCCCCACCCCCCCAAAAAAAAGAATACAAACATACAGACAAATGAAAACCGGGATTACACAAACCGGATTCGAAAGTGTCTTGCAGGATCCTAGCTGAATGTGAAGTTTGGCTGACTATGACCACACTACACACCCACCCATACACCCCCTCCCTCTTCCCAAGCCATATAAAATGAAACAGCAAAAAACATGTTCCACTCTATGTGGCTATGCATTCAGTATTGACATCCTTTTAGGCTGTCTTCTCACTGACATCTCCCTCCCCTTTCCTTATCTAGCCCCAACCCCTCACGAGAAAGCAACAAGAGCAAACAAGTAAACCAGCTAGCAAACAAACAAATAAACAAGCAAAACAAAAAGCACATATGTGTTACCTCATACAAAGCCTTGGCATCCTTCTCAGCTGTCTTCTCGCTGACTTCCTCCTTCTCACTCTTGTTTCCCTTGACCAGCGTGAGGAGAAACAGTTGGACCGGGTTCTTGTACTTCTTGGAGATGTCGCTCTCCAGGCTGATAGAGTTCTCTGACAAGCATTTTGGGAACTTGCTTAAAGATTTAGTTTCAATGACAAACATTTCAATGAACCTACCTATGATTTAAGTGATCTGACAAACATTTCAGTGAACCTGCTGTTGGTTTAGTTTCCCTGAAAAACAGTGCAGTGAACTTCTATAAGGATTAGTTTGCCTGATTAACACATCTATGAACATTCTATTGGTTTAATTTAGCTGACAAACATTTCAGTGAAGTTAGTTTAGATTTACTCGATTTCAGTTCATGTTATGCCTGTTAAAAATATTGATGGATGAGTACGAGCTAGATCACTTGAGTTGCTTTCAACTCAGCTTAAGTTATTTTAACCACTAAAGAAATGAAACTGAGGCCAGTTATGGGAAGCTAAAGAATGATTCTCTGTGTCATATAGATATATTTTGATTTCGATAGGAATCGATAAAGGAACGAAAGGTCCACCTTTGATACCCTCAAACAAAAATTAAAAATGTGTCCCGAAGAACGTTATTTCATATCCCCCCCCCCCCTCGAGACCTCATCATCCTACCCACTTTCCCAAACAAAACACCCTATTGTGAAGGCTAACCAAAAAATGAATGAGTATATATGGAACAGGAAATTGATGGGGAAAAGAAAGGATCACTTTAGTTTGAGGAATTTGATAGGGTAATTTAGATTTTTAAAGTCCGAATTGTATGACAAAATAGTTAAACAGCTGTTGGGGAAAAGCTCACGAGTGTTCTCATTTATACTGGAATGAGATTCGGAAAAAGAGCATCAAAATGGCAATAGCTGACAGTCCCCGGTTCTAAAACTTACCTTTGAGATACTCCTCTTTGAGGTCTGATAGTTCCTGATTGCTAAGAGGTGCCACTTTCTTCACCAAAGCCACCGGGTCTCCACTCTGTTGTGTGAACACGCGAGAATTAATGCTATAATAATTGCAATTTATATAGCGCATGTCCACGTTCAAAGCATTCTCTGTGTTTTTCAACTATCATTATCCTAGCAAACGATTGCCACAAACATAATAATATAAAATAATAGAAAACTGGGATGTTCCAATGAAAAGAAAGATGCAAGAATACAAAGTATTACAAAGCCCCTTTACTAATTATTGAAAGGTGATCGCGTTTGTTTGATAGCATTCTTGTGGTTTCGCTACTATCGATTAGAACAAAAGCAGCTTACCTTCATGGCTTTGGCAACTCCTTCCGATTGTCCTTCGTTTTGATCATTCAGAAGAGATTCTATGAGCAACGACCACTCGTTCCCAAGCCCTTTCTTCAAATCAGACTCTAAGTCCTGGTAAAAAGAATAAACCCCCCCCCCCCAAAAACAACAACATGAGTGTATCGAGTACTATTGGGGAAATAATAAAAAGGTGTCCACTCTCCTTTTCCAGAGACTATTTCAAATAGAGAAAAACAGTACCTCCCACCCTCCCATCCACCCCTCCTCCCCCCCCCGCAAACAAAGTAAAAGAAACGAGAGGTCAGCAGAAAACAATAAAAGAACAAACGAACAAATGACAACCAACCCGTCCGAAATCGTCCTCTCTTTAAAGAAAAAATCTAAACCCCAACACCACCCCCCCCCGCCACCCCCGCCATCTCCGCATATAAAAAAAAATCAATGTAGTAGATAGATCTATACGTTTTCGTAAAGCAAGATATGACAAGTTTTAGCTTTGGTGTTGGGGAAATCATAAATGATTACATTATAATTTGAAATCTGTTCTTTAAAAAAAAGGAAAAGAACCCTTATTGTCAAAGTATTTTCTGCTTCAGGAGGACAACCGCTAGAAAAAGTGGAAATACATACAAATATTTGCAGATTTAGAGAAAAGAAAAGTAGAACACGAAGGGGGAAGAAAATATATAAATATCGCAAGATCGTGAGGACAAAATCTGAAAAATATAAAAGAGAATACTTTGGGGGAAAAAGGAGATAGGAAAAGAAAACGGACGCCTCTGTTGACTAATTATGAAATGTAGTTGAAATTGCTTTGGTATAGGCCTAATTGCAAGAAAAAGAAGTGGTTTAGCAGCTTTGCTTGCTTGTGCTCAGTGAACAACATGCTGCTTGGTCTCACCTGCTCGTACATTTCCCTGTACTTATCCTTGGTCTTCATTCGTTGTTTGAAGGATTTCTTTGCCAGTGTCTTGATGAGGATTTCGTGTGCAGGTGCTGAAAAATATGTTATCCAAATGAACTTTTTATTGCTTTCCTTAGTAAACATGAGTGGAAAAACAAACAGAAGAAATGTCAAATGAGAAAAATATGAAAACAAAAGACGTTTAAAAAAACCCATCATCTAAAATAATTCCCTTATTATGGAAAACTCAGGCAGGTGTGAAGTCCGTGCATTCTCATACCACCTTGTCATTGTTTGCTTTTTTCAAACAATACTTCAGGAGATCAGACTTGGGGAGGACTCCTCTGACGGGCAGGTGTCTTCTCCCAGAGCTCGCTGCCCAGACAAAGTACTTTTGAAATGGCCTTGTCTCTGTTAAACTGTTTCATTAACCCAAAGTCAGTGACCCAATCTTTAGTTCAAATTCTCTCTCTCTCTCTCTCTCTCTCTCTCTCTCTCTCTCTCTCTCTCTCTCTCTCTCTCTCTCTCTCTCACTCACTATCTCTCTCACTATCTCTCTCACTTTCTCTCTCTCCCTCACCCATATCTCTACTTTCTCCCCCTTCCCCCCTCCCCGCACCTCTCTGTTTACATCCTTGTCTATTTGTTTATATGCATCCGCTAGAGATTTTTTTATTACCCCCCCCCCCCCCCTTTGCTACCCCTTCTCTCTTTCCCCTTAACATAAAAATACGCACGCAAACACACTTATGCATATATACGTTCACTAACCAAAGCATGTACGCATGCGTAAACATTCGTTCAATCGCACCTTCCCGGTCATTCATTCGCACCTTCTCAGTGCATGACCGTTAGTCTATTCTATAAGTTAAGGTCAAGGTCAGTGTCGGATGGTATGATATGGGAAAGAAAATAACTGCGTTCGAAGATAAAGTTTTGAATCTTAAAAACTTGTTTAGCATCTCTTAACCAGGATGTAAAGAATCAACACAGGGAATAAGATATAAATCCTCAACCAGACCAACTCTAGCAGAGCACTACGGTGTGCTTGCGTTAAAAAAGCATCTGAAAAAACTGCACTTTAACTATATTCTAGCCCACGGAAGGCCAACACGATCTAGTCTTTTTCGTCTTCAGGGTACCTTGATCTTCTACACTCCTCGTGGTATCGTCGGGGGAGGGGGGGGGGGAAGAGAAGTGGGTATCTCATTGAAAGACATTTGAAAGTGAAAAAACCCCAACAATTGACATTTCGTATTCGTGTATTTCTACTTATCATCCACACAAATGTATGTTGTTACTTTTAGTAAGCTTGCACGGAAGAGGAAAGCTGCTGCTGTTTTCAAAGAACTGCATGGTCGATATTGCATACAGGAACCCATACATGTATAAGGCTTGAGGAAAAAATCCATGTGACGTAAACGGCTTGTGTAATGTATCGAACCTGTGGTTAGAAACGCCACAAAATGGTCTGTTTCATTACTAGCCCAGTGTAATTTCGGAAAAAGAGCTATTAATTTTGTTTTGCCCATTTGAGAAAGTCCAAGCAGAGAAAAAAGTAATGAATCACAATTACCAGTGTCAGTTTCCAGCCTGGCAGTTGAAGAAGACAGTGGAATGGTGTTGTTTCTGTCAAACTGTTTTACCCCAAAAGCAACAATCCAATTCTCAGTTTAGAGTGTCTGTCTGTCTGTCTGTCTGTCTGTCTGTCTGTCTGTCTGCCTGTCTGTCTGTCTGTCTGTCTGTCTGTCTGTCTGTCTGTCTGTCTGTCTGTCTGTCCCTCCCCAACTCTCTCTTTCCCTTCTCCCTCCCTCATTTTCTCCCCTCTCTCTTTCTATCCCTCTCCCTATTGCCGTGTCGATGTGCTTCTCCACAACCCACGAAAAGAATACTCCATATTTAGCGGAGGGAATAATGAAGAAGAAAGAAAAGCTACTCAAGTATGTAAAAGTATTTCGACCAGTGCTTGTCAACCTTGGCGTATTGCCCCCCCCCCAAAAAAAAAGAATCAAAGCCACACACTATTAGAGCTGCGCACTTTTTAACGATATTATGATTGCCAACTACCGATTGTTTGATATTATTCAACTACAAATAGGTTATTAAATAGCAGTTTCTGCTCAGCGATTTAATTCCTCTCAGCGTTTTTATTAAACTTTGGGACAAGTACATATCAATTTGAGTTATGACGGCATTAGATTAAAAAAAAAAATGTGTCGTCGTGTCACAACTCACCCTTTACCTGAGTAATAGCCATTTTTGGCACATTAGCTGCACAGTTAAGGCTCAATGAAAGGAATAAAATTTTTATATCATCACATTACAAGATGTAATAGTAATAATGTGTGTTTTCTAAACCAGTTTTATTTTTATATGACACCGAAACACCCCAGCCCACTTTGTCCTGTGAGTCACCAGGAAAATAGTGTTTGGGACTCTTAGTGTTATTGTTATGGAAACAGTATGGAGTAATTTTGTCTCAGAAAATCCGTTGGATGGCAGTGGCTATCATATCGTATCGATATCCTTAAAAAGCGCGCGGCTCTGAAATTTTCCCATACTGGACGATTTGGCTTGTTTTCGTTTGGGTAAAAAGAAGCACATCGACACAATAATGGTCATTTAGTGCTGGGAAAAGTAAGGCAGATAGACAGAAACAACAGGGAAAGTAAAGAAGTAGAGAAGTAGGACTTACCAGTGGCGCCCTCCAACCACCCGCTGGGCGATTTGGTAGGATTGGTGGGTGGCAGGGCTTACTTGAGTTGCAGATGACGTTTTAAAATTAGCCCTTTGAAGGTGGCAAAAGTGGCGCTAGAAATAAAAAGGCTGACAAGTAATTATTTAGACCTACCGTTTTCCTTTGCGACCTTGTAGAGCTGTCTGGCATCATTCTCCGCCTGCTTCTCCGCGCTCTCCTTGCCACCGTCCTTCTGTAGTAAACATAACACACGCGACATGAACTTTGTCTCGTTTTTCTTGCTGTCGTACATTTTTTCCCCTTTTCTGTACAATAATATAGCACTGGGCTTGGCTTATAATTACAGTCCGTATACAATAATCATTATAACCCATTCCCTGCCAACAATTTCTCTCTCTCTTCCTTTGGTTACATCATGTCTCTTTTGTCTCTGTCTCGAGCTTACAGTCAGGTATCATTTCAGATCTATAATTGAACTTTTGATTGTTGATACAATTCTACATAGGTGGATGGGTAGTGATGGGGAGGTGGGGTAGGGTGGGGTAGGGTGGGGAAGTTGACGATCCCTTCCAACATTTCTGGAATTCTTTTTATATTCCGGATGATATGATAATACTATGTCAGTTTGCACCTGATTCAGTTATAATTTGTAACTTACATTAGTAATTTCAAAGTAATGTTTCTTCAGCCAGGACACAGGCTCACCGTGCATGAAGAAACCTTGCTGGCTCGCTTCTGATATTTTTTTCCTTTTTCGTTTTGTATGCCTCCTCCACCCCCTCCCCCTTTTCCCTTTCTCCAGGCCACTAGTCTGCATAGACAGCCGATTTAGAAGCGCTATAGTCAGTCAATTCAAAGGTAGAGTTCCCTACTGGCTTCGCATTCTTACCAAGAGGGGTTCACTCTCAGAGTCCCAGTGGTTCCAGCCACCAGCCATATACACATGTAGGTCAACCCCCCCCCCCCAAAAAAAAATAACCACACAAAAAACAACAAAAAAGCAAACTTAAAAAAAAAAAAGTGAGTTTCCCGTGACCGAAACGACCATTGCCCGCCCCCTTCCCATTTTCAACTTGGCGACTGTAATATCATGTGCCAATAAGCAACTCAGTGTATTTCAAGTAAGAGCCGGACAACTCAATCCTTTCCGTGACTGTGTTTTTGTATGTGGACAGTTATTTTTCTCCCCCTTCTTCTTTTTCTTCTTTTAGGAACAAGAATATCAATATATCATGTTCTCAGTCTAACGCAATTTCCATGTGCTTTATGCGTATTCCCCATTGATGTGTGTGTGTGTGTGTGTGTGTGTGTGTGTGTGTGTGTGTGTTTTGTGAGTGTGTGTACGCGCTTGTGTGCGTGTGTGTGTGTTTGTGCGTATGTTTGTGTGTGCGTGCAATTTTGTGTCTGTTTGTGTTTGTGTGTGTGTGTGTG